CAGAGACTATTAAGGAACGGGGTCAAAATAGGCTGAAACGCAAGAAGAACTGAGTCTTGCAACACAGTGCTGTGACCAGCAAAAAGGACTTTATTTTCTGTACTTCTGTTTGGAGCAACAAGAAGAAAACCTAAGCCCCATCGTTTGGACACAGTAACACAGAGAGAAAGCAAGATTTACTCCAGTTCTGTTATGCTTCCATCTCAAGAAAAACACAATGGTTATCAGAGTAGAGTCACACAGGCATTGATGAGAAGATGGAAAGCCACGATTTCACACTGCCTGGTCCACATGCATTGTGCCCCAGAACACCAGGCGAATTGACAGATGGGATTTATGAAGCTGGTGTCCCCAACCTTTGAGGGAATAAGAAAAAGGTGTTGGCAGACTGAAAGCACTCAAAAGTTTCAAAATGCAAAAAGCATCTTGCACTCTCCAAACTAGTGAGCTTAGTGTCAGCCATCAGGGAAAATTCTGGACTAGATTATAAGGCAAACAGGCTGTGAATACTCCTTAAGAGGCACAGTGAACCCTGAGAGTTGGCATGGATTCACGAAGAATCAGAATCAGGCCCGCTGGACCATCCTCATCTATTTTTAGAAATAGTTATGGGGAGGGCCGGGGCGGGGAGGGGGTCACCCAGCTGACTCAGTTGGAGAAGCTTGAGACTCTTGATCTCAGGGTCATGAGTTTGAGCCCTACATTGGATGTAGAGATTACTTAAATGAATAAACAAATAAAAACTTTTTTTTAAATTCACCTTAAAAAAATAGTTACCTATTTCTACCTGATAGACAAAGGAAGTGCTATAGATCTATAGGTGGGGTTTAGCAAGACATTTTCAGAATGTCTTCTGACATCATTGTTGGCACGACAGAGGAATGTCCACAAGAGCATCCAGGAGGGTGAAGGACTTGGTGATGGGACGGTTGGGCAAATTTATAATTGGTTGGATGAGCCTACCCAGAGAGTAATGATGTCAGTCTGTCAGCCTGTCTGCCTGACCCTGTCCTGTTCACTGTTTAATCAAAGCCTGGGATGAGAACATTGATGGTGAGTTTATCAGTTTTGTCAGTGACTTGAAGTCAGGAGGGAATGGCAGTATGATGGATGCCAGAGTCAGGTTTCAGAAATACCTGGACTGCTTGAAACAGTAGCCAGATAATGCAGAGTCTGTCTCTCAGCTCCAACTAATCCACAGTACATACAAGATGGGGGAGAGGAGGTCTAAGCGCAGACCATGGGAGAGAGCCTGAGGGAGATGTTGACAGAGGGTGTGCTGTAAGAGTTGGTAATATGACGAAGTTATAAAGAATAGACAATTTGATGACAGTTTTAATAGAAATAAAATTTCCCAAACAAGAAAGCTCATAGTCCCTCTTTGATCTGCCCTGGTTAGACCACATGCTATATTTATTTCCACACAGGACACTTCACTTCTGGACATGACACTCTGGCTTTGACATGCTAGAGTAAACGCAAGGGAAAGTGACGTGGATAGCTGGAAGATTTCAGAGCCATGTCTTAAGATTATAGTTGAAAGTCAGAGCCACAGATACTGGAAAAGAGAAACTGATGATGGCCTGTGGGAGCAGCTTCAGGGATTTGAAAGGCTATCACGGGAGGAGAGACTAAATTACTTCTGGGTAGTTTGAGGTCCAGCAGATGAGAATTGCAGGAAGACCATTGTGCTTTGTAGAAGGAAGACGGCCCTGCCGGTACCTCCCTTAGCAGAACAAAGGCCTCAAGGGTTTTTGTTGGCCTCTCAGAGGACCAGCAGTTGACCAGGGCCCACCGTGACTGCTCAGGGAGTCAGGAGCCCCTCAAACCCCATCTCAAAAGTCCCGTCTCCCAAGCTGAGGGCAAGGACCTTTGTTCAGAAGTAAAGACTGATTTGGCAGAGGCAGTTGGTAAAGGCAAATAAGTCCCTATTAAGCTATCAGCATTCTTGCAGGAAGAGCAGACAGACTTCTAGAGGCAGCCCCCTGATCCAGCCCAGATATATTTTGAGCCCCTGCTACATCTCAGGCACCGTTAGATGCTTCATGCCGGTCATCTTGTTCAATCCCCATAACAAAAGCGTATTATTATTTATCCCCATCAAGAGGATACTGGCGCTTAGAGAGAGGGTTCATTATCTGCCTAAGGTCATGAGAGAGTCGAACCCAGCACTTACACGTTAGCCACTCTGCCACCTGAAGCAGTCCTTCACCCCCGGCCCCATATCCCTAGCAGTCCCCAGTGGGTGTAGGGCGTGCTTCTCTGGGAGCCCTTCTCCCTTCCAGCCCCCTGGAGCTCTGCCTTCTCTTCCACAGGGAGCTCAGGGCAAAAACAGCCCAGCTGAAAAATTAGGCCACGCTGGCGAGCACAGTACTTATTTTTTTATGACTAAGATTAAGCTGACAACCATGCAAAACATTGCAAACCTGTGTCGGCTGCAGATTTAATACCTCACCCAGCCACACAAATAATTCATGCTTCTGCATCGATGTCCAGAAAAAACAAATCAGCAAAAAGCTGGGCTCCTGCGTGTGTGCGTGTGCGTGTGTGTGTGTGTGTGTGTGTGTGTGTGTGTGTGTAGCAGCCGCATTTCCATTGAAGCAGCATGCCGGAAATACCCAAGCCCCAGGATTGCAGATCTAGCATTTTGCAATTTTTTTTTTTCTCTTAAAAGATTAAAGTACGTTTTCAAATGATTGAAGGTTGGTGGGAGGTGTAAATGTGGGCACTTGTCACATTAATTCTTCAGATGATTAAGTTCTTTTCCATTTCTTTAAAGCTGTTTGCAGTTGGGTTTGATGTCCTCGTTCCGGGTGAGTGTGTTGTAGCAGTTACCAAGGTGACTTTAGCTGACTTTCAACAATTTATTTTTCCCTCCAGCGTGAGATGTCTCTAGCCCTGTGTGCTGTTGATTCTTCTCTCTCAGCCCTCCACCCCCCACCCCTACCCCAGTTGCTGTTCATCAGCATTTTGCCCATGCCAGAGAGGCGGGGATCCTCTAGTGGGCCCCGTAGGCTCAGAGGCCCCGCCTGGCAGCCAGGCTTCAGCTCCTTTTGGGCACACGGTGGTATGTCTCTGGTATGTCACGTTGTCAGAGATGGCACAGGGAAGCAATTGTAAGAATGACACCCTGCCTCTTCCCCTTAAACTCACTCTGACCTCAGGCTTGTCACCTCACCTCTCTGAGCCTCCATTTTCCTCATCTGTGAAAGAAGGGCTAACCATAACCTATACAGGGGGTGCTTGCTGTGAGGACTCAGGAGTGAGTCTCTGGCCTCCTCGCTCTGGGGCAGAATAGGGCTGCTGTCTTCTGAGTTCTGCTCTTGTCTGGGCCCTGAGGGCACCCACTGCGATGTGGTGTTTGGTGGTAAGGGAAGGAGATCTAGCAAGAGGTCCTAGGCTCCCACACTGGCCTGCCACAGACCATCTCTGTGGCCTTGGACTTGTTTCCAGCTCTCTTTTGTAAAGGAAAGAAGTAGATTAAACCACCTCAGAGTTTCCTGCCAGTCTTGAACTTCCATGACCCGCTTGGCCGTACGTAGCATTTGTCTCCTTCACGGGTCTTGTGAAAGGGTTTGTCAAAAGAGAAGCTAGGGCAAAGGGCAGTTTCAGAATTCACTTTGGCAAACCAGAGGAAGGGACCACTTTGTGACAGAGCGGTTACATCTGGGGGTGGATCCACACAGCTGATAGGACTGGTCCCCGTTACCTCAAGAGCTTTCGTAAACCACTGCCTTGGCAGGACCCTGGCTGCCCCATGTCACCCTCTATCCTTTTGCCTGCTGACCTCACACCCTCCCTCTGGGGAGGTTCTCTGCCTGTCGGGGTGCCTCACTGGCCAAAGGCCCTAGCACCTCAGTGCCCCCGGCATGTGAGGAGGTTGGGCCTGCCCCTCACTGACTGCCTGACTGTGGAGCCTGGACATCCTGGATGGCTCCTGCCCCTTGAATGATAAATAACTAGAGCCTCTTACCCAGTGTTTTGATGGACACTTGGGGAATTGTTCTGCGATTCACAGCCCAAACTAGGATCCGGCCTTTTGAATAGGATCAGTGGGTAACCCTCATTTCCGGCTGAGGCAGATTTGAGAGGCTGTCAGTGGGGGCAGCTGAATTTGAAAGAACATATCTTAGATTGCAAAGGGACCCCGTGGCCCAGTTGTGGGCAAGCTGTTGGCGGGAAGCAGGACAGGAGGGAGTGTGAGGCAGCAGTGACAGCTCACTGTGGCCAAGGCCACAGGCAGGAGGAATCTAGTACAGGGCCCCTGGGGCCTCAAAACCCAGCAGGATGGTGGCCTGGTTCTGCTGCCCAGCCAGGCCCACTGGTCTGACTCCTAAGAATCTGGTTTCCACCCCCTCACTGAGGATTGTATCATTTCCTGGTTAGATGAAGGATGTGTATGTCACTGCAGCTCCTAGCCATTAGCAGGAGCGAGCATGCTCAGAGCCTGCTGGAAGTCATAGCCTTTTCAGGGTTGGCTGGAAGGAAGTTCTTGGAGCCGCACCTTCTGGTACTCTAGCACTCCAGCTTTGGAGAACTTGGGAACTGAGACTCCAGGGTGGGGAGAAAGGGCTCCCAGATGCTCCTGCTGCTATATAGGGAAGAACAAGCCACTGCGAGGTAAACTTTTATATAGTGTATTGGCCAAAGATGAGGCTTTGGAACCCAATCTAACTTCGACCAGCTTCCAGCTCCATACTCCCTGGCAGTGGGAGCTGCACAAGTTACTTAACTTCTCTGATCTCCCAATTCCTTATCTGTAAAAGGGATATAACAATAGTACCCACCTCATGGGGATGTTGAGAGTAGTCAGTGAGAAGTGCTTTGCACAGCTGCTGGCATTTGGCCACCACACGGTGAACGGTGGGTGTTGTTAACCACTATCATCAGTCACGGTCATTGTCATTATTCGGGAGCCCACCCTGAGAGACTCCCATCTTGCTGCTCCTCGTGGTATTTATTTACCTTGTGCTGAACCTGTCCCTGTGCTTGCTTTGCAGAAGCCGCAAAGACAGCCTGGAAAGCGACAGCTCCACGGCCATCATTCCCCATGAGCTGATCCGCACACGACAACTTGAGAGTGTGCATCTGAAATTCAACCAGGAGTCAGGGGCTCTCATTCCCCTTTGCCTAAGGTGAGCCCCACAGCACACAGCTCATCCTCAAGGAGCCACCGGGCCTATGCGTGCCTTCTCCCACACACCTGGGTGGAGTCTGGGACCCAGGGAGGGAGGAGAGCCAGTCGGGCAGGTCCATCTTGGGCCTGTGGGGGGCCTGTGGACTCTGAACCAGGCTGTAGCCCACACTGTGTGGAAGAACACTCCTTTGTCCAGAGAGGTGTCCCCTCCAGCCTTACTCTCTTCGGAAGGCTCAGTGGTCTCGGCAATCTCAGTCGCCCCTACCATCCCACAAGCCCAATGTCAGTAGCACTGGAATAGCAGGGCAGGGCTCTGGTGGGTCAGGCTCTATTTTCCTCTTCGTGTTGCTTTTCCCATGCATAGCGCTCAGTTCTCCAAACCCAGTGGCCAGCACAACAAACTCCTTGAGGGACCAAGAAGCCCAGCTGTGTCCTTTCTGCTGCTGTCCACAGTGCCAGAAAACCCAGCCCTGTGGCCAGCATTCAGCTCTCTGTTTGGGGATGCTGCACTGGGCTGAATCTGTTCAGCTGGCTTCTTGCATAGCCCTTGGGGTTTCCACCCTCACTTTTATAGCAGGGGAGGCGACCAGAATAACTCTGAACTCAGACAACATGACAAGGAAGAACGGGGTTACCCTGGTTTGGTCCCTCCCCACTGAGCCCAGAGCCTGAGAAAAGAGTTTAGATGCTAACCAACCTTGGCCAACCACCCTGGGCAGCAGGGCAAAGATAGCAAGTGGTCAGAACGAACAAGGGCTGGAAAGACCCCCCCACCAGGACCCCAGCCATTTCCTCCCCAGCTCCCTCTCTGGCCCAAGCTCAAGATCTTTAGACTGGTAAAGGGTTAATCCAAGGCAGCCTGAGAAAGCAAAGGGGCAGGCTTTGCTTCCTTTGCTGACTGGCATCTCTGGCTCACTAGTTGTCCCTGCCTGCCCTTCCCCCAGGTGTATTTCCAGACTGGGGATTAACAGGAGCTTCTTGTGGCTCCCTCAGAGTGACCCCATTTGGCTTCAGCTTTGATGATGATGATGATGATGGTGATGATTATGATTTACGATTTATTTGTTTGTTTTGAGGTATGCTTGTGGCCTTGGGGCTAGCCATTTTTTTTTTAAGTTTATTAATTTATTTTGAGAGCAAGCACAAGTGGGGGAGAGAGAGAGAGAGAGAGAGAGAGAGAGAGAGAGAGAGAGAGAAAGAGAATATCCCAAGCAGGCTCTGCAGTGTCAGCACAGAGCCCGATGTGGAGCTCGAAGCCACACACAGCGAGATCTTGACATGAGCTGAAGTTGATGCTTCACTGACTGAGCCACACAGGTGCCCCGGGGCTAGCCATTTTGTTCTTGTGGGAGGTCCCAGGAGCAGGTGGCAGACACTGCCCTGAGCACAGGAGTTGTGCTGCGAAGGCACTATGCCATCCTCCCTGGGGCTTGGGAAGTTTGTTTAGGTACTGCTTCACCCCCACCTTCAAAGTAAAGGGGGACATGACCCTGCTCTTAGTTCTGGGCATGGCCTTGGGCGTATTGCTAACTGCCTTCTCTAGTCTCAGTTTCCTCACCAGGACGTGAAGGAGGTGTACTCCACTGCCCCTGCAGGCCCTTTGAATGCTGATCTAGTGTCTCTGCTAGCTTTGAGCACTTCGGAAGAATGGCAGTAGAGAACTCGTGAGAGGTTTCTCTTGGACCGTGTTTGGTTACAGTCCCCTGTTGGCGGGCAGGTGGGCAGTCCAGAGGGCATTTGCCAGGCACCCTGTCCCAGGGAGCACAGCCCCCACAGTCCCTGAGCCTTGGCCAGGCCTGCTGCTCACTGTCTCTGTGTTCCTACCCCCAGGGGCAGGCTCCTGCATGGACGGCACTTTACGTATAAAAGTATCACAGGTGACATGGCCATCACATTTGTTTCCACGGGAGTGGAAGGCGCCTTCGCCACTGAGGAGCACCCTTACGCAGCCCATGGACCCTGGTTACAAGTGAGAGGCTCCTTTTCTTTCCCTACCTTTTTTTCCCCCTCCCTACCTTGTCTTCCGTGGGCTCTTCCCACACCTGCCTCCCCCTACCCTCCCTTGGCAGCTGTTGTTGACTCCCTTCCGGAAGGGCTGGTTATGGGAAACCATGTGGAGTGTGGATGCTGCTGCCTATCCCATCAGCTGTAGTACTTCCTGGCCTCTCCGCCATCCCCTGAGACACCAGGGATAACTCTCTAGGCCCTGGCCATTGGTTTGCCATGGAAATCTAGGTTTGAGAGGTACCAGACTTTCCGCACCCCGGGTAAACCAAAGTCCAGGAAACCAAGGGTGAAGCAGGATAAGATGGAGTCTGGAAGCCACTTGCAGGTGCCTCTGTGGAAATGCCACCAGAACTCCTAGATAATGGACGTGTGGACCTGGACTGGGGCTGGGTTGGGCAGGCCTCAGCAGACAGAGCCTCCCTACTCCCCTCATCTAATGGTTGTCCTGTTCCTCCTAATGGAAACCCAGCTTTTCTGCACAGAAACCTGCTGGCTTGTCCAGAACACTTTGTCCTTCCTTTGCTCTTCTGGCTGGAGCACAGCTTCAGAGCCACTGCCAAGTGGGGTGCTGGGACCTGAGAGCCACAGGCCTCCTTCCAGCCCCCACCCCTGTCCCAGGTCTATAACTGGTGCTTGGCTGGTCCAGCATACTCCCAGATGTGTTAGGGGAACATTGTTTTTTTCTTTGTTTGTTGGGTGCACGGGAGGAAGAAAACTCTACCTTACCTCTCTGAGGAGTATCAAGAAAGGGGATCTGACAGCAATTCAGAAATTGACTGTGCCCTGTTTATGGTATATGGAAGGATGGTTATAGTAGCGGGGAAGAGAATTATGCTGGTTTTGTGGGGTTAACCCTGTCTGGGGGGGTCTGTGAAACATACTTAACTGTCGATGTGGGCATGTGTGTGTGTGTGTGTGTGTGGTTGAGCTTGCCATTGAATTTCTCCTCCTTCAGGCCAGCCCTCCCCGCCGCCCCCCTGCACAAATACTAACCCTTAATTAAAACAAACAGCAAACAAAGAATACCAACCACACTCCTCAGACTAAGTGAGGAAGAAATGGAAGCTAGTGCTTTAGGAATATTGTGTTCCATAAATTATCTTGCCTTTTTCCACTGTTGTTATTACATTGTTTCATAACAAAATTACTTTGAACCATAAAGTTATAAATACATTTTAAAAGTCCCACTTGGTAACATTAGATTTCTGTCCATGTGGTGTTGGTAGTTACTGTAGCAAAAGCTCTGAAGTGTAACATTTGAAACTAGCCCAGCACAAGTGGAAAGGGCCTCCCTGCTCCCCACCGCCCCACCCCAGCTATGTCCCAGGAAGCAAGGCTGCCTCTTGCTGGTAAGGAAGGGGGAGGTGGGGACCCAGCAGAAGGGTTAACAGGTCATCATTCCCAGTAGATGACTGTGCTGACAGGTCTCAGAAGTGTCCTCAGATGGCATTTGTGTGTATTGGAGGTTCAAGCACATTTTCTTGGGAAAGTAGGGACCAGGGTCTCCCCAAACTCAAGAAGAAATTACCCCCAGTACGTTTTACATCTTCAACTCTGAACCTGTCCTTAGAGTCTTGCCATCCCCCTTAGAAAGTCTTCTCACCCTGAGGAGGGGTTGGTCAGCATCTCCATTCTCATCAGCCTAGGAGCCCCAGCCCCCAGAGGACTCAGCAGATGTCATGATGCCCCTCAGGGCCCCCAGAGTTCTGAATCCAACCGCTTATCCACGGGCTACTGGCCTTGTACTCCCAGCCCCACTCCCCTCACCCTGGGGCAGCCCCCTCAAGGGAGCTGAAGCACTGGGCACGGCCCCTCCCATGCACTGTTGCCCAGGGAACCGGAGCGGTGGGAACCAGCCGCTAGCCTCGGCATGTTTCAATAAAGTTGCTGTGCTGGGGAGCTGCTTAATCAAAGGCCTGTGTTATGGGCTCATTAGTGTGGTCCAGCACGGGCCAGCTCACGGGGGAGCTCCTAGGAAGGCTGGCTGGGGCCCCATTCCCCAAGCCTGCACCCTCACTCACCAAGGGGATTCTCAGGCCTAAGGAGCCCTGGGAAACCCTCTGCCCGTACCCCCCACTCTCTATCCGCCAGTCCTCAGCCATGGAGCCAACACCCAAACAGCTCTCCTCCCTGCCCTCAAAGCAGTCAGCACTTTCTGCATCTGACTGCCTGTTCGCCTTCCCCTTTAGGGTCTTGCCACTGTGGTCACAGGCAGCTGCCTAGCTTGTGGGAACCTGGGCTTGTAATTACTTGTGGGCCTCTGGGGCTCCCTCTGGGGTTGGTTGTCTCCCCAGGAGTCTGCAGGACCTCTTGGAGGTCTGGGATTAGGCTCATTACCAAAGAGGGGCCTCTCCACTGGACCAAGAAGGGCCCCAAGCCCCTCTGGAGGGAGTTCCCCAACACAGAGAGGACAGCCCCCCCTGCAGGCATCTCTTGCGCGTGCTCCCAGGATCTGGGGTGTCTCGTTGGCCTCTGTGTGCCAGGCCTGTTAGGGACAGAGGAGCAGGAAGGAGCTGAATGCGGCAGGCCCAAGAACGTGAAGAGCTCTAGACTTCTGTTTTCTTGGCTGCTGCTTGAACTCTCCCTGTTGATCCCAGCTGAATGGGGAGGGGCTGGGATGACTTTCTTACATCAGCCTCAACAGCCTTGGAAGCCCTGCTCCCAGCCTTGGCACCTTGTTCTGGCTACCAGCCCGGGCCTGTTATCTCTTGGGGAAAAGGCATGGCAAAGACACCCCACATGGGGGAAGAGTGACAAAGGAGAGGCTGAGAGGAAAAGGCAGAAGGTGAGGGAATCTGGGCCCTCACTGGAGTGTGCAGAGTGGCCCCACACAGGCCTCCACACCCACCTTCTCCTGGGCCTGCACCTACCCTCTATGCTCCTCCCCTTCCCCCACTCTCCAGCTGCAGGAAAGTCAAGGCCCCAGCCCAGAGAAAGGCAGGGCCGTCTGCAACCCCAGGGTGAGCTCAGTGGACACTCCCTGCTTCCTGGAGGAGCTGGAGAGTCAGGAATCCTGCACCAATTCCATAGGCTTCTCAGTTTCCGGAGGTCAACACCTTGACTCCATCTGCCCTACCATCTGCTGTTTTCATCCTCATGGAGATTGTAAAGCCTGTCAACCAGCTCCAGAGCTTTTCAGGAGGGTCTCCAGGCCCTGGGGGAGGCCTGCCAGCATCCTCTCTTGCACACCTTCCCCCAGCATTCCACATCCCGGTAGCTTTAACAAGCCTCTCTCCCTTGAGGCTGTCAACATTGGGTTGTTAGTCTTCTGAGCAGGAGCCCAGCCCAGAACTGAGTCGTTCATCTATCCCCAGCCAGGGTTGATCTGAAGGGGGGAGAAGTCAGCCCCAGAGGTCACATGGAGGTCATATCACCAAATATGAGAATATTTTTTTAGGCCCTGCAATGCTTTCTCAGCTGTGTGGTGTCTGATAGCTCACCCAAGTGGAGCCCCCATTCCCAGCCGTTCCTGCCAGCCCTGATGGGAGGCTCCGGCCTCAGGACACGATGCCCAGCTGTTGTTCCGAGTGGGCTCGCCGCTCCAGGCCAAGTTTGGGAATCACTACTGGGCTCTGGTCCTAGCCCAGTGGCTGACTCACCACTGTCCTCTGGACAAGCCCCCGCCTTCTGTCCTCATCCACCCATTTGGACGTTGTGTGGAAGACACTTGGCAGTCCCTGGCCCAGGCCCTGGGCAGCTCCTCTCCCGTGCCTCTACTGTTTCTCCTTCTTCTGGTAAACCTGGCCACAACCTGTTCTCCCTGGAGACGTTTGCCATCCTGGGACCTCACTGTCCCAGGGTACACCCATCAGGGTTTAAATCCTAGCACTGTGCCTGGGGAGTACAGCACCCTCCCTTTAGGAGAAGACTGTGATGGCCCACTCTGCCCTCACAAGCCGGCAACCAGAGCAGGAGGGCTCTGAGCCTGCTCCTGGCCACCAAAGCCAACTTCTCACCACCCACTGAGAACAGGAAATGAGTGTGTGCCACACACACCTCTGCCCCCAAGCCTGGGGGGTCTCCAGGCTGTTTTCCGGCTTTCGTCTGGCCTGTTGGAGTCTGGGGAGGGGGGTGGACACAGACCGGACTGCTTCCTCGTCCTGCCTCCTCCTTGGCCATTGTGGGTGCCAGAGCAGCTCCTTGGCAGGCCTTACCCTGTAAACAACACATTTCCGCCTCTGAGAGAAGGAAAGAGAGGGAAGAAGAAAGCCAAACTTGTTGGGAAGCAAGAACAACGTGTCAACACGAAGAGCAAACAGGGCCCCGGACAAAGTGTGGATTGTCGTATCAAGGGGAAGGAGTGGGCATTGTCAACGCTGTTTGCAGACTCAGAAATAGCACCAACCACAGACGTTTGAATCAGATCTGCAGCAGCTGGGCTCCTGTCTGCGGCACAGCAGGGCCTGCCCAGGGCAGGCCCCATGAAAGATCACTTTTTGGGTTCCTTGTGGACCTTGCTGGGGCTTGGGGAATTGGGAGATTATTGACAACCCTCCCTCATCACCAGCCAGCCAGGTTGTCCTAAGGCACCTGGTGTGAGCACTTGGAGTAAGCTGCCATCTGGATTCCAAGCCCCCTTTCTGACCAACAGTGGGGGTTGGTAGTGGGGAGCAAGGAGCCACTGCTCCCCTCACATCTTGGCCAAATAGAAGGTGTTGAAGCTGCAGCCACCAACTCACCCCTGTTGGTTAAGCCTGCGCCCAAACCCCCTTCCCCTGTGAGCCTGGGTATTTCCCATGATCCCCTGGGGTGCCTCAAAAGTGCAGATGTCTTGGCCTTGCCAGGATATTCCAATACTGAAAGTCTGGATGGCATCTTCATATTTTCAGAAGCTTGCCAGGGGAGTTTGCTGTTCAGATTGGTTGGTGGGAGCTTTCTCCTCTCACCAGAGAGCCTCCTGCCTCCAAGGGCTGGTTATACAGAAACCTAAGCATTTTATGCCCAGCTCATGGGGACCACGTGTTACTGAGTGCTGTTGTTATTTTCAGTATTATTACTGTTATTTCTACTGCTCTTTTCTGGGTTAGAGTAAATGTTCCCTTATGTATGCATTCACTAAGCTGGCCTGGAAATTTGCCTTGCTGTTCCCACTTGGAAACCATCTTTGGGCATGGTTTGCCTTCCTTTCCAGTTGGCCAACTCAATTTTTGAGCAGCTGGGTGTCTATGGTACTCAGCCGTCTTGAGCTAATCAGGGTTGTTCTTCTCGAGGAGATATAGGTCTGGCTGGGGTTAGGACGGCTGGTTTTCCAGGCCATCGGTAGAAGCCAAAGTCACCTTTACCTCCCCTTTCAGAGGAGAGAGAGAAGAGTTAGCCTTGAGTAAACAAGGCTTCTAGAATTGAGGTATTTTCTCCAGACAGGAAAAAGAGTATCCTCTACCACCATGAGGTCAGATCACTGTTCTAAAGTCCAGGAGCCTTGTCTCCTCTCGACACCGGCTCGTCTGCAAAATGGGGGTGATAGTTACCGCCTTTGCGGGACTGCCAGGAGGGTTCCGTGAAACGATACCAGTCAAGCGCTTAGCCCAGTGCCCGGCACATGGAGGAGGCACCACTGCTTCTGCCACTGGTGGTGTTATCATTGCCACTGTCTTCATAACCATCCTGTTTTCATTTGTGGCAGAGCCAGGCAGCTCCACGGGGACCCAGTGAGCTTCAAGAGCCCCAAGCGTAGCATCGCAGGCTTTTCCCACAGTTGCATCACAACGGCGAGTCTGTTGCTCATGAGAGCGCCCAGGAGCTGCTCCGTCACAGTTGTCTATCTCCAGTGTCCTGTGGATAAGATCTGTTACCATTCTCAGCTCCAGGTCTGAAATATACAAAGAACAGGGCCTGCTTGTTCAATCCAAGCTTCTAAGGTTTAACTCCCAAAGGAAATTAAATTAGCTGCCTGCAGCTATGACAGTCTGTCGTGTTTCTTTGCAGGGAATGTCACCCTTAATATCATGCAGATCTTATGTATAATTTTCTCTGTTTAATTCTTTTAAAATAATGTGAAGTTTCCAGCAGGAACCAGCAAAGCACCAAAAGTGAAAATTGAGGAGTAACTAGGGTTTGTCCCCTTTTCTGGTCTTGCCATCCCTTCCGCCAGCCGGGTATAAAATGAGTCCACACACAGAGGGTACGTGCTTGGTGGTTGTTCTGCTAAAAGCCACCATAGCGTACCCTCTCTCCACCACCTATTCCAGACCTTTGTCACAGGAACTGGCTTAGGACGGAACTCCACGTTAGTGGGGTTGCCTTTCCCTTTGTCGAAAAATGGCTCTTTGGTGTCTCACTGGGTGGTCCGGTCCCGGTGAACCCTCCCCTCCACCTCAGCCCAGCACTATAGTCCCAGACCTATTTACCTTTCTGGCAGAAAGTCCCTCCCTCCAGATTATTTGTGGCTTAGAAATCAGCCCGGCCTGGCCCAGACTGGAGCCATTGTAATGTAATTGGGTTTTAGGTATGCTCGTGTTTGTGCTAGCATTTGCAGAGATGGCAGCAAGCCCCGGAAATGCCAAAACCATGAATGTGACTTTTGTACTCCTCCCGCAGACTGGCGATAACTGGTAGGGAAACTCTGGACTTTGAGAGGGGGGGACCCTGGGATAATGGAGGGGCATGGGCCCTGGCAGTGGGAAGACTGAGGTGTGATTAGGAAAGAGTCCCTGGAGTCTGGGAGTGCTCAAGGTGCACTTGGAAGAAGAATGTGGGTGGGAGGGCCCCCCCCCCCAAGTGGGCATTTCTCTCCACTGACTTTGCCTGTTTAAATCTGGTCTCTGCCCTCACCTGAGGCCTGAGCTCCTCAAACAGAAGAAAAAAAAAAAAAATTCGGTGAGGTGGGAGCCAATGGTCAGAGCCGGTTTGCTGCTGACTGTGGGCTTGCAGCCTGGGAGGATGTCCTTTGGCTCCCTGTCAACCAGGAGAGGGTGCATGTCCAGGTAGAGTGTAGACTGCTTTCATGCCTGTCTCTGGGGCTCCGCCCAGGGCCAGGCCTAGCAGAGGCACCCAGGGAATGCTGTGGGATTGAACAGATTGATGGGCAGATGAGTGGAAGAATGAATAAATGTGTAAATGTTGTGGGGGGAAGAGCAGTACTTCGGGGATGACTTTAGAGTCCAGACACGACTGGGATATGGTCTTAGCTCAGCCACGCACAAGCCACGTGACATTGGGCAAATTACATAACCTGTCTGTGCCTCAGTTTCCTCATCTGTGAGGAGACTGAAGGAGATAAGATACACTGAGCAGTCAACACAGTGCCTGGTACAGAGGTGGTTTGCTCGCTCGGGGTCATTTTCTCATTCCTCGCTCCCACCTCCAGGCCATCAACTTCCTTCCTCTGGAGCCCTCCGTCCTCTGTGGTCCCCAGCAACCCTGCTTGCTGCTCTCCCACACTGCTCTGCCATTTTACTTCATCGCACAAGCTGACTGTGTTCCAAATATTGAAACTTCTCTTCTTCCCAGAGTGGACAACTCCCAGGGGAAACCTGAAGGGTATTTTCTCAAGTTCTCGATCCCCATCCTTCTAAAGGGGCTTCCCTCAGAAGAGTCACTCACCTTGGTCTTCACCCCATTGTCCTTCTTCCTCTGTGCCTCACCCAAGGTGTTCAGAGTTTGCTGGAGGAGGCAGAACAGAGGCAGGTGGACCCACAGCCTGGAGGGTAGGGAAGGGTCAGGTGTGGAGACCAGGAGGCTCCTGGACCAGCACAGGAAGGAAAAGGGTGGAGGAGAGAGTCAGGTTGGGAAGAGGAAAGACATCCTCAGCCTGGGCCCATTGTGGTGCAGGCCTGGTGTGAGCTTGGCCTAGCTCTGCAGAGCCAGCCTGAGCCAGCTGGGGAAATGGCCCACCAGCTTGAAGAAGGCCTGTGAGGGTAGTGGTTGTGCCAGCTGAGTAGTGGGGCCAGGCTGTCCTGAACATCAAAGCATGAAGTGACAAGGCATCAGACTAGAGCAGTGAAGTGGGACAGCTGGGAGGTGACTTGGAGGAGAGGTTTCTCGAAGGAAGCTTTGGAGAACTCAGTGGCTGAGTGAGCCCAGCAGAGCAGGGGTTTGGGAGCTTCCAGCTTGAGATGTGGATACTGCGGAGGGAAACGGGTTGAGAGCCCCTTTCCCATCTGTAAAATGAGAGAGATTGGTGCACAATCTGCAAATTCTCCGGCTTACACATTCTTGGATGTACCTTCTGGGGCATTTCTAGATTCCAGACGAGGCTTGTATTCCAAATCCAAACAGATTCCTTTTGTCCTACCAAGTGGGGGGTAAAGAGGAACATGTGAGCCCAGTTGGGCACAGAGGATGGTTGGCAATCTCTGTTCCCCAGTCATCAGCTTTTCTGTTTCCTCTCTGCTGCACTACCGCGTGCAGGGGGCCCGAACTGCCAAACAGGCTCTTTTCCTGCCCATTCCTTTGTCCCTTCTGGGGACCGGCAGTACCATTCTCCCACGTACCCACACCTTGCTTCCCCGTTGTCCTGTGACAGCCCTCCTTCACTGTCCTCGTCCCTCTGATATGGCAGGCTGGTGGGAGTTGGGGGGAAATGACAGTCAGGGATAGGCTTCCAGCACTTCCCTCTGTCCCTAGAACAGATCCACCACGGGCTCATATCTCCTCCGTGGCCAGAAGAAAGATCCACAGCTTGGCAGTTGGCAAAAAGACCATATATTAAGAAATAATAATAAAAGCCTGTCTTGTGCCTTCTTCCCAGATTCTGTTGACTGAAGAGTTTGTAGAGAAAATGTTGGAGGACTTAGAAGATTTGACTTCTCCAGAGGAAGTAAGCCTGTTTGATTCTCTCTAACAGCGGCTTCCAGTCTCCAGGAGCCTGTGTGTGTCTTTCCGTCTGTCTGTCTCCAAGGTGTGGGGATAGGCTGGAAAGGAGACCCTGGAGATGTTAAACGGCTTTATTTCTGTCTTCCCACCACCCCCTGCCCCACCCCAGCTGCCATAAGGACACCCAGCAAATTGTCCAAATTGGTGGCTCCGAGAACCTCATTGAAGAGGCAGCCAGGGCCTTTGGGCTAGTGGTTCTCCTCAGCCCCTGCTGTTCCCTGGCAGGTTCTGAACAGAAAGCCCACGCCTGCTGCCAGAGAACATTCCACTGGGGAGTTCTGGTGGGCAGTAAGGGACTCCTGCTCTCGCCTCAGGCCACCCAGGAGCCAGCCTCCTTCCTTCTCCAGCCATGAGCTCTCCCTTCTTGGTCTGCCTCTTCCAGCAGGAGGAGCTGGCAGGCCAGGTGGGGGCTTGTGCCTTCCCTGGCTCCTCATCTGGGGTACATGAATGGAGCCCATAATCCCCTTTGTTTTTCTTCCTTGTTCCTGGCATCCTCATTTGCAGGGACTTACCTCATCCTGGAAAGTCCCGTCCCCTCCCCCGGCCTCCTACTAAGCTGCACCCCAGTGGGATCTGAGCCTTCCTGGCCTCAATGCCCCATAGGTTAGTGGAACATTAGCAACCTAGCCAGGCCTCTGGAGGGCCCTCCTCTGCCTATGCGAGAGACAGACAGATGCTTCTATTGGCCTTTCTGCGGGGAAGTGTGTTTGGGGGAGAACTCCTTCACCTCCCAGCAGCCAGGCTTTCAAGCCAGAGGGAGGCCATGCAGGGGCTAGATTTCAGCCAGGGCTGGAGTTTACAGCTGCCAGGGCTCCCAGGGCCGTATCAGCCAGGACATGGTGGCCTCTGATGTCCACCAGGTGGAGGAGAGAACACAGGGTGAGACTGTCCTATCCAGGTCCCCAGGTGGACAGGAACTCCTCAGAACCTGAGGTCACCTCTGCCCTCTGGGATGTGGCTTGATAGATTAACTCATTTATACATTCCAAAGTCACCAAGCACCCAGTCTGTGCCAGCCAATCAACCCCCACAAGTCACCGGTCCCTGAGGCCTGGCTCCTATTCACTCAGACCAGAGCCAGCTGCCCAGAAGTGCTTCCGGAGAGGCCGTGTCGCACTAGGATGGCACCGTGCCAGACTGCTGCTTTGAGCTTGGGTGTTGAAGGGGTAGGAGGGGGACAGTCCAGGCAGGAGGGACAGGAGCCAGGGGGAGCTTAGGAAAGTAGGTCACTAAAAATGACTTTTTTTTTTTTTTTTTT